AGAGAGAGAGAGAGAGAGAGAGAGAGAGAGAGAGAGAGAGAGAAGCAACGGCAACGTCAACGTCATGCGGTGGGGAGTTTTTGTTAACACGAAAATCCCATAAGATTGGTCGTGCCGTACGGGTCTACGTCGGAGGCTGGTTGAGCTATTAGTAGTTGCGTTCCCTAACTCGGAAGAAGTTGCAAGAATTTACAGGAATTTACCAGAAAGCGTTCCCGTACTCGGTTGTCTAGCTTCTTTTGCGTTTTGACAGGTTTTAACCCAGAAAAGTTGGGGGAACGTAACTATTCATAACCTGCTGACAGCAGTGCATAGCCCTAATGAAGCAACTTACCGTCAAAATTATAATTGCAGATTCGGCAAACTGAAGAGCTTTCTCCCATCGCAATGGACACCAACATCGACCCAGCTTACCAAGACTTTCGCCACCTGCCAGCTCCGGTGCGGTGTATGCCCGGTGATCGACTCATTGCAGAATGCATTTATGACAGTTCGTCACGGAAAGCAATTACCCTCGGTAAGTAGTAATGCAGACTGTTTATGCCCACACAATGCAACTTGTGCTGTTGTTATGCTAGCAAAAACACGAAAAGCAAAAGCAAAGAGCGAAATATCACTGCATAGAAGTGTTCTTAATGTTGCGCTTTAAAACAAACCGTTTGTATTTTGGATTTGCAACACCTTCCACGTATCGCAGTCCACTTTATTTAGTCTAAAATTTGCTGAAACCACGGCTTCTGGTATATGTACATAAATGTAATAAAACAGTTTTAACTTGACGTAGAATTAGAGCTGGAAAACAATCGATGTTCGTGACCATCGATGTTTTCATAACAAAATATGGATGTAGTATCGATGTTTTCCCAGAGTGGAATTGTAAAGCAAACAGTACACATTTTGCATATTTTCGCTAATAACTGTATTTGGTAAAAATATATTGCAATAGTTGCGTTCGCGTAGCTGTTAATTGTTCAAAGTTAACCAAAACTTTTNCACTGCATAGAAGTGTTCTTAATGTTGCGCTTTAAAACAAACCGTTTGTATTTTGGATTTGCAACACCTTCCACGTATCGCAGTCCACTTTATTTAGTATAAAATTTGCTGAAACCACGGCTTCTGGTATATGTACATAAATGTAATAAAACAGTTTTAACTTGACGTAGAATTAGAGCTGGAAAACAATCGATGTTCGTGACCATCGATGTTTTCATAGCATAATATGGATGTAGTATCGATGTTTTCCCAGAGTGGAATTGTAAAGCAAACAGTACACATTTTGCATATTTTCGCTAATAACTGTATTTGGTAAAAATATATTGCAATAGTTGCGTTCGCGTAGCTGTTAATTGTTCAAAGTTAACCAAAACTTTTAGGTTTTGCGTTCGCGTACGCAAAAAACTTGCAAAGTAGGGGAAATTGAGAGAGCAAAGTGACATTTCATTTTGAGGGGAAGCTGCTAGTTTCTGCTGGAAAAATTTTTGCCAACAGCAATTTGCCAACAGAAAAAGAGCTGATCAAAAACAGCTGGTAGGAATTTACGCAAATCACAAAATTGAATTTGATGGTTTGGAAGTTAAACTGATAAAATGGGACTAATTGAACTTGTAAGAACTAAGTCGTTATTCGTTTAATAAATAAACTGTGTCTGGAAAACTTTTTGTGATAAGTTTTCGTACGTTTTAAATGTAACAATTTTGAATATAAACAAAAATTCGATCAGCTGTTCGTCGAACTTGCAAGTTTCTGCAAGNTTTTCGTACGTTTTAAATGTAACAATTTTGAATATAAACAAAAATTCGATCAGCTGTTCGTCTAACTTGCAAGTTTCTGCAAATTTTGTGTTCGCGTACTATTTTGGATATATTTCTCTTGTCAGAGAACAGATGACCTTTCGCCGGAATTTTGCTGTTGGATGGTTTTTACTGGAGATTTTAAGCGAACTAACCACCTAATGACTGATATCACATGTAATGTAATGCATAGTGTTAAAGCATTTTTTTTAGAAAACCGACCTCCGAAGGTGTTTTCAAATATATAAATATTAATACATATGTGTCATTAAACAAAACAATTTTGAGTTTTGCTAAATATTTGATGGCCTTTTATAACTTGCACAGTTTTAAATCTGAACTAGTATACATTTAATAGTTTTATGACTCCTCGTTTGAGCCTTGTGAAATGTAGAAACCATTACTTGATGCAACCAAAATATCAATATTTGGAGAAACCCTCCGCGGAAAAATTTAAATGAATATTTACTATAGAAAGCACGAATTAATTGCTTGCCAGGGGATTATTTAATTTGCTGGTAATTTCAGTTCCATAATGTAGCAGTATCGATATTATACATATATGTACAAACATAAATCGGTCATCACTAATTACTGTAAACAACCCCTAGATTAAGTTGTATATATTTCGTCACACTCTAGCTTTAAGTTACAAAACTATTTATAATAGCTTGTTGATTATGTCTCACTCTCCCTCTAAGATATAAACCCGCTAAGCAACCGGCCGTCTTCACATGCTTAAAAATCTCGCTTGCGAGAGAAAAAAGCAGAACGTAGAGTTTTGTTAACTGGGCATTTGACAGCATACTTTTTCATTTGTAAAATGTCGCCAAACAAGAAGGTTCAAGCCTTGCAGGCTTTTAAAAGTTTGAGAAAATTAGAAAATCTGCATAAAGAGATGTATACTATTTTCAAATGAAAAATGGCTGCCTCTAAATTTGTATTTGCCTCCAAAATAAACGATGTTGCTACTCTGAAGAATTCTGCGAAATGAGAACATAGCTGTCAAACAACAAAAATGACAGTTGAAAGCAATCGAGACTCGCATACCGCTCGGTATGCGAGAAAAAGCATGCTTCGTACTTTTTGCGGTCTACACGTGCGGTTTCTCGCATGCGTCGTCACGCAAGCGAGATTTTCCAGCACGTGAAGGCGGCCGGTAATCGCGAACGAAGACCAATAAAGAGTTGACGAAAGTCAGTCGGGGTACAGCATTGTTAGCGAAACGACGTGGTTTTATTTAATCGGTCAGCTACCACAATAAAATATTCCTCAAATTTTTTATTTGCCTAGACAATCATTAATGTATTAACTGCTATAACTGACTTCACGAAAATCAAACCTTTGATGGATACGTAAATATAGCGGAAAATGTGCAATATTTCCTAAAATATTTTGTAACAAATGTTATGTATAGTTATGAGAAAAAACCTATCAATAGGGACAAAAAAACATCGATAGTGGGGGTAATTGGCAAACATCGATACGATCGATAGTGCCATCGCTTGTTTTCCAGCTCTACGTAGAATACTTCTTACGTTTCGATATGGAGGCTATGCTCATATGTTGTAGTTGCAATTTTTAGAGCTTCACGAAAACGCTTATTGTATGAGAACTAATGAAGCTATTTCAAAGAAAAGTGCGGCGTTTCCAAGACAAAATTCCAAACCTATCGACAGATGCATTTTTGTAAGTAACCAATTCGGTTTCTGTCGTAGAAGCAACGGTAAATATTGGCTTATTTTGGGGTCAATTTTGAGCTTTTAAAAAGCTCTAGCAACTTATGATTTGCAGATATAACTTTCACTTTCGGGATAAAGGTTCTTTGGAGCAGTAGAAATATTATCGTTTACAAACTTTATATAAATTCAACAAATATTGAGCATTTTTTGCAGCTGGCTACGCTCTTGTGTATGTACATATGTACATTAGACTGCATCACTCCCCATACAAAAAAAAATCGGTACTGTTTTTGCATTGGAATTATAAAATCTATACTAATATATATTTTGAAAGCCGTTTTTTCTGTTCGCAAAGCTCGAGATCGGCTGTACCGATTTTTTGGAAATTTCGGTTATAGGTTTTGGATGGGCTTCTCATTGTCTTAGGCAAAAAAAAAAGTTTAAATACTTCCCTAAAACTGGAACTGCAGGACTTTAAAAATCCTATTAATCTAACATACATGCCAACATAACGGCGCTGTTCAGCGTTGAGAGCGCGCTCTTCTGTTAATTCGTACGGAATACAGCGCAAAGCAAGGGTTATGTATACATATGCATACGTGCTAAAGTTAACGTTAATGTTGATTCTTATGTTAAAAAAGGAACAAATATGTATGCACAGTTCATGGAGAAATAATGTAGGCTCTTATGTATGTAGAGTCGTTTATGTTGGCACAAGGAGCAACTACAATTCTGTTAGCACTTACCCAACAAGAACGACCTAGCGCATTCTCCAATACACTTACAAAATTGTCAATAAAAACTGACACATTTGCATATTAGCCATATCCATATGCTATTATTTGCGTTATATAACGCGTTATTAATCGCATAATAATACTAGATTGAAAAGAGACAAATATATATAGAATAATATTAATAAAAGAAAGAAAAAACTGTTCACACGTGAAACAATTATGCGTTAGATTTCTCCAGGAGCCCTATGTAAAATGATGGAAAGTTTTTGAATTTCTCACACAAACTATTTGTAGTACTAGGCGTATATAACGCATTAGTTAACAGATAGGGTTCTTACTGGGTACATTTGTATATGCATATTTATGTACATACATATGTATGTATATAATTACGCATAAAACCCTGCTGAACCGATTTTTTTGAAATTTCGGATACCTGCAGAACTCGTTGTAAGGATGGTTATCGGCTAACAAAAGTCTCGATTTATAAAAGGGGCGTGGAACCGCCCATACGAATCGAATTTTTCATACTCCAGATCTCTGGAAATGTTCATGGTAGAGTTCTGGAACTTGGTATGGAGATTTATGAAGTCCATCGCATACCCTTGGAGAAAGATTGGAGCTATCGAAAAAGGGGGCGTGGCACCTCCCATACAAACCGAATATTCATACTGCATATCTCTGGAAGTGTTCATGGTAGAGTGATGGAACTTGGTATTGGCGCATATGAAATCGATCGTATAATCTTGGAGAAAAATTAGACCTATTGGAAAAGGGGGCGTAGCACCTCCCTTTTAAACCGAATTTTTCATACTGCATATCTCTGGAAGTATTTATGGTAGAGTATTGGTACTTGGTATGGAGATATATGAAATCGATCCCANATACTGCATATCTCTGGAAGTATTTATGGTAGAGTATTGGTACTTGGTATAGAGATATATGAAATCGTTACTCTTAGATAAAAATTTATGGACCTTTACGCGTTGGTGATGGCGAATATCGCAGACGATTTAACGATGAGCTGTATAAGCTTTACAACGATATAGACATAGTGCAGCGAATTAAAATTCAGCGGCCCCGTTGGCTTGGCCATGTCCTTCGAATGGACAGAAACGCTCCTGCTCTGAAAATATTTAACGCAGGCCGTGACGCTGGTAACATAGGAAGAGGAAGGCCTCCTCTGCGTTGAAAAGACCAGGTGTAGAAGGACTTGGCTTCACTTGGCATTTCCTATTCGCGTCAGTTAGCACAGAAGAGAAATTACTAGCGTGCTGTTTTGGACTCGGCAAAAATCGCTTAGGTGGT